AGCAGTCATAACTTAATCAACAAGAAAATTTACGTACTACCGTTCATTGTATTAATGACACCCGTCATCGGCCCAAAATTAATGTTGACCTTCACTGATTTAATGTACTTTTTATTATTATAACGTACCTTTTTCGTTCTGTATATATATATATGTAGTATGGAAAAGATAGCATCTGGAGCAGTTTGAAAACTTGCTGAATCATTCCAATACTGCTGAGAATATCGAAATGACATTATTTCACACTATTCCACACTCAGCAACATTCCTCCTATTAGTCCTATTCCAATGAGAACTAGGTACTATACTATGTGTGTCAAAAAAAAATGCTATCACCTATTGACTGCTCTGAAATGCAGAGTTTGTTAATGAGATGTTTATAATTCCTCTGGTGTGCCCGCTCTTCAATTGTTTCGTCACACTATAGCTCTCGATATGAACAAATGAATGCGAGTTCGGAACGTGAGGTTTTCATATTCGATGATAGATGGCGTGAACGATGCATGAAGAAATTCTTGGAAAATTTCAAAATTCGTTTCGAAGCTTATTATGAAGTTGAACTAGACTTTCAGGGATGTGTTTTCCTTCTTTCGGGACCTGAAGAGTCCCGTTGATAATGCACGTATTCAATAACAGCTGAATAGAAGATCTAGAGACAGAAAAATTATGAGGCATTTGTCAATGTCCGAGGGATATTCGGCGGAAAATAATTTGAAGTTGTCAAAGTCGATCGTGTTATCATAGTGATTGATAATAGCACTGAGTGCAGTTATCGAAATGTATTTACAAATAAATCGGTTTTTGGGAAAATTTAGATGATTTGATTTGCAAAAATACCCAGTCCGCAAGATTTTATGAAAAAACACACGAGTAAAGTGCTCCCCAGGAAGGCAAGGGTAAAATTTCAAGAACTTTTCATCGTATATTTCCATGAGATAAATCAATTCTTGAGAAAATTGAAATGATTCAAGTTGCAAAAATTCCAAGAACGCAAGATTTTGTGAAAAAACAGACGAGTAAAGTGCTCCCCAGAGGGGCTAGGAAAAAATTTCGAAAACTTTTCATTGTATATTCCTATGGGATGAATCGATCTTTGAGAGAATTGAGAGGATTTGACTTGCAGAAATACCCAGTCCGCAAGATTTTATGAAAAAACACACGAGTAAAGTGCTCTCCAGGGGATCTGGAGAGAAATTTGAAAAACTTTTTATCGTGTATTTTCATGAAATAAATCGATTTTTGAGAAAATTGAGATGATTTGACTTGTGAATATACCCAGTCTGCAAGATTTTATGAAAAAAACACACGAGTAAAGTGCTCCTCAGGGGGGCTAGGGAAAAATTTCAAATACTTTTCATCGTATATTTCTATGGGATGAATCAATTTTCGAGTAAATTGAGATGATTTCATTTGCAAAAATACCTACCCAGTCTGCATCAGGATTTTATTAAAAAACACACGAGTAAAGTGCTCCTCAGGGGGGCTAGGGAAAAATTTCAGATACTTCTCATCGTATATTTCTATGGGATGAATCAATTTTTGAATAAATTGAGATGATTTCATTTGCAAAAATACCTACCCAGTCTGCATCAAGATTTTATTAAAAAACACACGAGTAAAGTGCTCCTCAGGGGGGCTAGGGAAAAATTTCAGATACTTTTCATGGTATACTTATTTCTATGGGATGAATCAATTTTTGAGTGAATTGAGATGATTTCATTTGCATATATACATACCCAGTCTGCATCAAGATTTTATTAAAAAACACACGAGTAAAGTGCTCCTCAGGGGGGCTGGGGAAAAATTTCAAATACTTTTCATCGTATATATCTATGGGATGAATCAATTTTTGAGTAAATTGACATGATTTCATTTGCAAAAATACCTACCCAGTCTGCAAGATTTTATAAAAAAACACACGCGTAAAGTGCTCCCCAGGGGGGCGGGGCGTGAATAAAATCAGAAACTTTTCATCATGAAGTTCGATTAACTGAATCCAGATATGTAATAAAAGAACGATTTATATTTGTTTGCTGGAAATAGCCAGTCAGCAGCATTTTATTCCAGTCCGCAAAGATAAAGGAAAGAATATTTGACAACGTTCCAAACAACATTTAGTTTAGTAACCTCGATGTATTGTGACATCCCAACTCCAATGATCAAAATGGAAGTATGGAACGAATTTCATGCAGGATACTTTAAGTTCCTATATTCGGGGAAAAAGTAGTACTTTGAATCCCTAGGGATTCAAAGTAATGAAAATCCCCATAGGGATTCAAAGTACCACTTTTTCCCCCAAACTCTGGATAACCATAGTATAACTGAGGTGTTGATATGGTAACAATCACCCCCTTCGATGATGTTCTAGAATAAGAGTACCTAGTGTATCAAGGCTGTTATTTAGTGGCATTTACATTTTTTTCGTTACTTTTAAAGTTTTACTTATCCTAAAGTGCATAAAATAGTATATGCACCTCAGGACTAAAATGTTTTTTGAATCTCTCTTCCGTTGGTAGTGCTATAAACTTTTTGTCTCGGAATTTAAAATACCACCCTAGTTCCTAGTTGAATAATGTTCTATAGTGATAGCCTCTAGTCCGGCATTGAGTATTGTGTAAATAATCAAGGAGTCCGGCTAGGGTCGGAAAAACGCGTCTTGGTTGTATCTACTAGCACCCTCTATCCGTGTTTGTTGACAGCAGCCTCAAGGTCAAAGTAGAGTTCTGTTAACAAACTCAAAAAGTAGGTGTCTACTATGGTCCTTGGGTATCGACATTAGTACGTAGAGAGATGAGGTCTAGGGACCTGTTTTTTCTTCACGCAGCCTCACACGCAGCTAATAGAGGGCGCTGAGCATTTTCCACCAGAGATTCGAAAATTGAAATTTATACATGGTTGGAATAATCTTGATGATAGTCTGGGAAACACCTACATTAAAATTTGGAGGCAAATCGAATTTTCATTGTTTCCTCGAAAACTGAGCTAGATACAAAAATCACACAGAGGATAAAAAAGTTGTTATTTCAATAGTTTAATCAAATAAAAATTTTAAACTCGGTGGTGTACAAAGACATTCACTATAAATATAACGCATTATTGAAATTGATGAGAAGACAATTGAGAAATGAATAGAAGAAAGATTTTTCATGGAAATATTAATACCCTGTATCTCGAAAACGAAGCAAGTTAGGATACATGTTTATATGAACTTCATTTCCTAAAATATCACAAGGAATCACCCCTTGAATTTTTTCGGTGTTATTTAGATACACCTTGTATACATCAGAATGCATGAAAATGATTGTCAAGTTAAAAATACAAATACAGGACATGAGATAGTTATTTACATGAAATTTCAAGACATTTACAGGCAAATTACATTTATCTTTACAAGGTGTGTTAATTTTTATCTAAACACATAAGTTGAACCAAAATGTCTAAGAGGCTACTGAAGGTATAGGTAAGTAGGTATACCTATTGTCAAATTCAACAAATCTTCCCCAACTTTGAATAGGTAATCAAATGAACCTCATTTATACAGGGTGTTTCAGTTTTTTGTAGCAGGACTTTAACAGCTTGAAGAAGACATTTTTCAAAGATGAAAATCTCATACAAACATATTTGCGTGGAAGCTTCGTTTCCGATTTACAGGGTGGCAAAGTTTCAGATTTTTTGTTTTATGAATTTTCTCCTACAATTTTCGGAATAATTGATTGAAATTGGGTACACCTGATACACTTCAAAAACTTAATATTTGAGGCTATTGAGCGTTTTTGAATACCTACAGGGTGATAGACTTTGAGGGGTCGTACCCAATTGAACCCTGTAGAACTTTTTTGCGTGCCGTCTCTGCTTTCAATGGGACATAGATTCAGATTGTCCTTTCAATTTGTAAACTTTTTGCCCCTATATATGTAAATTTTTCAAAAACTATGGATCTCGAGATAAATGCCAAAAATAAATTACTTGTAATAAAACCGTTATTTCTCAAACACACTTATTTGAAATTTCTCAAACATTTTATTGGAAAAAAAAAGACCGAAAGCTTCCATACCAAATGAAATTCAGTTGCAAAATTAGATTGAATTTTTTGAACATCATTATAATTAAAACTAGGAAAAACAAAGAAAAAATGTTTTCATTAAAAAAAAAAACTTCTCTAACTGGATTGCAAAATCTGAAATTGTATTGTAGACAATTCTAGGACACCCTGTATAACTGAAACTGGTTAAACTTTCGATATCAGGGACTGTATGACACACGGTCTAGGCGCTATACATCGCTAGACTGTCGCTTCTGACAGTTGAGGTGTTGTGAGTTTTGATAATTTCATCTCGTGAACGGCAGTTCTAATTTCATCAGTACCCTTAGAAGTGGTTCGGACTCCACTTTTATTTATCTCGAAATCCATATAGTTTTCGAAAAACATACATGACGGCAAAAAGTTCCCAAATTGCAGAGACAATCTGAATCTATGTCATATTGAAAGCAGAGGCGGCACGCAAAAAAGTTCTACAGGGTTAAATTGGGTACGACCCCTGAAAGTCTATCACCCTGTAGGTATTCAAGAACGCTCAATAGCCTCAAATATTGAGGTTTTGAAGTGTATTAGGTGTACCAAATTTCAATCAATTATTCCGAAAATTGTAGGAGAAAATTCAAAAAACATAAAAAAATCTGAAACTTTGACACCCTGTAAATCGGAAACGAAGCTCCCACGCATATATGTTCGTTTGAGATTTTCATCTCGAAAAAATGTCTTCTTCAAGCTGTTAGAGTCCTGCTACAAAAAACTGAAACACCCTGTATATTTTCAGAGGTCTGATCCATTTCGAATTAGAAAATTCAATTTTGGTTTTGATTTCATTGTTTATGCATTGGTTGGTTTTGATCCATTGTTTATCTTATCGATAATATATTCCTTTCCTGACTTCTCTGTTTCACCTTATATCTATATCAATAAAAATGTATTGTCAGGTTATAAGAAACAATAGACTTACCATAACAGCCAGGGTAGTTAGGGTGAACCATATAAAATGAAGAATCATCTTCTGCTTTCCTCAGATTTTCCATCAACTCGATAATCTCAGGTGAAGTTCGTACAATTCTAGTTTCCACTCAGCACTATAAAAACTTCATTTCACAAAATTCTCACTCACCACGAATACACCTTGAATTTTCATCAATCAAAAATTATGAAACACTAACAATCACTGAACTACTCAGAAGTAGAAAAGTAAGTATAAGTAGGCACCTGCTATTTCAGTGAATATTCATCAACTGAACATCTACATCTCTATTATTCAGTGTAAAAACCATTCAGATAGATCGGCAAGTGAATTTTTTGCGTCTTTATTCTCCGAATTTAACTAAAGTACCTATATTTACTATAATAGTTGTACAGAGTGTTCTTCTCCATTTGCTATAAAGAAATAAATACAGGCGGACACATTTTAAATCAACCTTGTATCATTTTTGTTATTTATCGACTACCCTGATAGCATTTATAGAATGTATACGGCAACTATAGGGAGTAGGCAAGAAAACACGCGATACAGCCTTGGTAAGTACCTCTTTAAGCACAGTAAGCACATCGCACAGTTTTCGTTTATTTTTCCAAACTTTTTGATGTTGTTGTAAAGCATTACGCACTCATGGAATTACGCACTCGCCGCTCCGCACCAAATTCGAACGTCCTATGGACGTCCAGAATGTCCCGACAGGACATCCTAAGGATATCCATGGAACACGATTGTGTTATTAGGGATGGTAGGATGGTAATATGTTTAAGAAATAATTGTGTTGCCATGGTAACATGTTTATTTTTTTGAAAAAAAAACACAGATATGATCGGGTGAAATAGTGCCGCTCATCTCGGCTTCTGTTGTTTACAGGCACTTGAAGCGACCAAGTGTTATAGTTCGATCTCCATTCCTTGAAAGCCACAAATCAATAAAATATCTCAATGGTCACTACAACGTTGATTTGATCATTTATAGAGACCCTGTATTATTATGATACTCGAGATGAGACATGAATTCTGTTTGAATTTCTCGATTGAACTGAAGAAACTAGATTGAGTCATCTACAGTTCTCACACTCTTCCCACGGAAAGGGATATCCTGTAATGTTCAGAGAACATCGTGAGAACCAAGGGAAATGAGGTAGAAATTGGTGTTCTTCTTGAATTTCTGGAAGTTATATGCCTCTGGCAACACCTCCCTTGGCAATGTGTTCCAGAGCCTCGCTGTTCGTTGGATGAACGAGTCTTTGGAAAGAAAACATTCTGAACTAGGAAATGTTGCATTCATTTGAATTTGAATATTTTTTAACGGAATTAGGCATATAGGATAATGAATAAAATGCAATTTTCACATGTATATCTTCATTTAGGATACATATCACAAAAGATGATTATGCATAATAATATAAAAGTTGGACAGTACAATGATAATCATATTATATAAAACCATTATAAAAAGCTATACTGCTAAAATATATAAGTATATGGACAGATCTTATTTAGTTTATACAGGGACCTAAGAAATATTTGAGTAAATGATTATTTTCTTAAAGCCTAAAGTGACGTTTCAAATGTACACATTTATATAAGTACGAACATTTGCATGAATACAAGTGATTGTATTGGGACTAATAATTGCTTAGTATTTTTTGCAAACGTAATATCGAATAAATTTTATTATGTCATAAATTTTCGGAACACAAAATGAAAATATTCAATAATAATTATATATAGGTAGCTAGGCAACTACAAGAAGTAAAAAATAAAAATGTACAATTTTTAGATAACCATTATATAGACTAACTCGACAACGAATGTATATGAAAGCAAATTGAATTCTGCTACATATTCATATTTCATCAGCCAAACTTTACAATATTCTGAAAATACATACCTATGTATATTATTTCGTGTAGTTATCACTCAGTAGATCATTACCTGGACTTTCATTGATACCTATATACCTATATAACTTGAGATAGCTGGAAAGCTGTCAAGTTTTCTCTGAAACCTGATGCACTTCGTCTGTTCCTTCAGTTGTGATGGAATTTCGAATAAACAATATTTCTTTAGTGAGATAAATGTTGATCGAAAAAAGTTGAGGTTATTTTCAAATGCAAACGACAAAGGATTTGATACCTATACCGCATTTTTTCTAGAAAAAATTGTTCATAGCATACATACAATATCCTTAACTTTCTCCGATCAGTTTATCCATGAAAGAATAATAGGAAGTGTACCCATGGCGTCCAGGATCAATTTAATTTTGATGTTTTTTCAAGACTAATTCAATCCTGGTCGAGAATTTATATACATATTTTTTCGATTCACAAAACACGATAGATGTATATGGAAAAACAATTTTATAAAAGTGGCATAAAAGGTCCATCAAGAGATTTAGAGTATTCATGGCAGTGTTTAGTGGCTCCCAATTTCCAATATACATTAAATTCAACTTATCAATTACTGAATGATATGCTTCATATAATTAATATCAAAAATGATATGTACAAAGTTTTAAATTTTCAATAAAATCATAGAAAATCAGTACAGACAATAAATAGATAAAAATTCATTTTCGAATTCCAGGCTTTATTTCTCCATTATCCCTGGGGCCAGGAGATATTTTATACAGTCTAAAACACTGCAAATCATCTATAAACGTGCTTATACTTTGTTTAGATCAACAATTATAGCATACAACTCAAGTACCCTGAGTGCATTTCATTTTCAGCACACAGAGATTGAATATCATAGCATTAAAGCATGAACACATTTACAAGTGAAATATATATTTCTTATTCATAATCATTCTGAACGAGTCAAAATTTCTCACTAATCGCACACACTTAAAAATATAGAAATAAATAAACTTAACACTAAAATTTAGTAGAAATTCTCATAACATTTCTGCATAACTGCACTCATTTCTTTACGAATATGGAAGCTTGAGTTACGGAAAATCTTCGGTTGCATTCATAAAATTTGGTTTTTGTTTTTAACAACGATCAGACATTACTGTATATTTACATAGACTTAAGTACTCGGTCAAACTCTTCGGACAGCTCGGTGAAAGATGGCCTCTTTTGTGGATCCAATTCCCAACAGGATTCCTAAAAAGAAATAAGTGACTTCAACATTTTCCAAAATACATACACAACTGATAAGAAACACAAGTCCAATGGAACCCTGCTCTGTAGACCAGGGAAACAAAATGGCAGATAATGCATGCACGAGAACGTTGAACCGTTATTCCTATATGATCTGAACCCTTGATAAAATACTCAATGTCTGAACCCTTCTGGGGAATTAGTAAGCAGTACAACACTGGAGAAACTGAAACGGGGAGTAGATAAGAAATAATCCAATCATTATATTGGAAAGGTCGATCTAGAAGGGATAAGAGACTAGCGAAAACAATACTTCTGAGGACTTCAAACTTCAACCAGAAGGAATCTAGCAAATGTATAACTGAATCAGCCAATAATCAATGACAGACTCCGAATACTGAAAGGTGTTCTAACAGAAGTCATTATCAAAACTACAAAATAGGCAAAATAGTGAGAGGACATCTCATATGGATAGCAGACAAACTGGCGAAAGTTGGAATACAGGTAGAACTATAGGAAGAAGAGTCAAATAAGTTCCAACTATTGAAAGGAAATATAGCTAAACAATCGAACACAATTATCTGGGAGACATACCGACATACCGACATATATATTTTCAAAATTCTCACTAAATGCTTCTGATAATTCGTCAAAACCTTTGATTATTTTTGAGGTACCAATGTTCAAAATCAAAGTGGATCAGCAATTGAAATTGAATATGAATATTTTTTACCTATACTAATTTAGTGATGCATCAGCAAGGGATGTAAATGTATATTATTTCTCTCATTCCTCTAGTTCAAAACCAAGTGATGTTTTTTTTATCTTGTTAAATACTTGGTAAATGAAATATTTTTGTTATACATATATTACTGTCTGAAAGTCAATCGAATATAGGATATTTGGGATTTCCTCTCCTTATTTGGATAAATGGACATATAATTGTAATTTCAATATATGAGTAAGGACAAATCGGACGATTCACCATGGATTTGCCTCAAAATGTCACTGCATGACCAAAAAATCTAGGTAAATAGTAGCAACAAAATCAAAAAGTGAACGGATATCAATTCATATTTGCCGCTCAATAATGGGAGGGATCTTTGATAGATAAGTGGGAATTTTCAGCCATTGCAGAGAGAAATTTCGTGAAGACCATATAAAACTCAACAAGTATATAAGATAAAATGAATAAATATTAGGTACTATAAAATACATATATTTCAAGCTATTAGGAACAAAGTATCAATAACATACAAGAATTAGAATCGAATATCACTGAGCATGCAGATTTAGAAATGATGTGTTAGTTTAATGGAAATTTTACTGACCTGTATTTTTATCAGTGGCTCAGGTGTTGACGCATGTGCTTTCCATTCCAGGTTCTTTTCTTTCAGCTTTGTAAGAAAACTGTTGTCGTTTATTTTCGATTGGGGTAGTTCTCCTTGAGCGAATATTTCCCAAACTAACACTCCAAACGAATAAATGTCACTCTTCGTCGAATACTCGTCTTCGTAGACTGCTTCATAGGGCAACCATCTCAATGGAATGATCTAAACAAATATGAAAGATAATATTAAAGGATTCGTGATAATGAACATCAAAGAGAGATTGAAAATTTTGAGTGCCTGAGTATTATAATTATATTGATATTTTTGGACTTCTGCAGCTTTAAAACAATGAGAGTGTAATACGACAATCTAAAACAAAAATTATAATTATTGCCACCATAAGACATGTAATATAAAAATGGTGGTGATATCCTGGAGATAACTCTCTATTTATTTCTTCACTTTCTTTTTTATTTCTAGTTTGGATGGGCTCAAATGACTATCTAATGGAACTCCAATGACACTATTATTGGATATGCAGTTGAAGTTATCTTTATGTTGGGAGCATCATATTCTTATAAACTCAAAGTGTGACTCAACTATTAGAATGACCATGAATTTGAATTAGGCGCTTTATTTTAGACCATTTTACTAAGACAGCTATCTCAAGTGCCTGCTGTTGTGTACAATTGATTCACCCTGATGTTCCACTAGGTAGTATACTAGGTAGTATACCCCTGTGGGATCAGCAGCAGTACCATATCAGAAGTGTTAGAGAAGTTGAAGCTGAACAATGATTGAACATCTCGGAAAATCTCAGACAGGATCTTGGATTCCATCCAGAGAGGAGCCATTTGCTTGTTGGGTGATGCCACACTGAATAATTCTTCGACATCATAGGAATACCGTAGGAAAGCCGGCGACCTTTCGCACTTTCCTATGGATACCTACTTCCATGGGAAATGTTCTTCAGAAAACTCTTCAATCATTCCATCACTAGCAATACTAGCCAGACGAGCCCTGTCAGCAGATGCTTCTGTTGTCAACCTTCAAATATGTCGAACAACACTCTACCGCCAAAACTCGTTCGTCTACAGAACGGACAAGCTTTGTAATTCTTTGTCAGTAGAAGTATTGCCTAGAACTTAAAACCTCCAAAAGTTGAAAAAAAAATCCAAATACCCAACTCCTCTCCCTATCCCCCCTAGGTTCACACGATGTTGTCCGAGCATAATAGTGATGCTCTTTTATACGCTTCAAGAGATAAAATAAGGCTAAGATCGAACGCATATGTCAGTCCGAGCAAAAATAAACATCGTATACTAACGGGAGTCCTAACAGGGCACTCTCAATTAAAAGGACCTCTTAGGAAGCTCGGCTTAGACGATGGAAACTGATGCAGGATCTATGGACAAGAGGAGTAAACCTTTATCCACATACTCACGTGATATCTATCACCCTACAAAACCCGAGAGCAAAAAACCTAGAAGCATTCATAAAATAGGATGGAATCACCACATATCCTTAAATTTCTGAGGGATATAGAAATCGCTATAGCTACGGAGAACTGCCTTATCAGAAATAGCAAAGAAAGGATCAATACATAGTTCCCTTTTATAAATATAATACAATACTACTCCATATGCCTAAGTCGGTTGGTTGACCACTGCGAGGACCACTGTGTTCACTATGTCGCATTGAATGAGCCTTGGATGGTATTTTTCTTCAAGCGAAGGACAACAACGGGAGCCAACGTAATATATGGTCCAGCTAGACGCTTGTTAATGGGGGAGACATCAACGACATCATCGTGAGCTCTATACCAAAATGACACCAGTAAAAATAATTTTGAATAAGTTTGATAAGAAAAATCAAATAAAACATTTTCATTTCAAAAATAACACTTCCTGCGCCATTTGAGTGTCAATTTATTGGTGTGACGTATTAGTCCCAACACGCCTCTATTGTCCTTGAGCTGACCAATCACACTGCAACACTGCAGAATGGCAAGGTATCAGAGAGAGATAGCTACAGTTCAAGACTTATAAATACGTAACGGCTCCATCTTCATATCTGGCATATAAATATCGAATGGAATATGCTCATTTCAGAACGCTCCAGATTCAATTCCGTTCAACTTGATATTATAATATTGACTGTACATTGAATGTGAAATAGACCATGATTCATTGTTGAAAAGATGTTTGGACGCATTTCATTCATCATTCATCAGTGGTCTTCCCCATTAGGTTAGGTTAGGTTACAAGTGAGAGGGTCTACTCAGTCCTCTACTGTGACTCGTAAGGGTCTATTGTGGCTCACACCAATTCATACTCCACCAAGTATAGTTGTCTGCACTTAGTAGTTCCTCCTCTCGGAGGAACCAGTCATCTCTATTCGGGGGTTTTCCCCATTACTCAATTAACATTCACCTGGTTGACATGTTTGCAGTATTCCTGGCTGTACGGGTCCCTGGTTAGTCGGCACATCCCCACTTTTGCCACCAGGGTGGACGATACCAGGCAGTTCCTTGCGGCCACGTCTTTGTGCACCAGCCGGTGATTGGCCAGGTGCTGCATCCCGCGGCCGAGTTGGTGGACAATGGCCACGCTCTGGACCGGCGTCAGGGCGGGAGATTTGCCGGTCTGGGTGGCCAGCAGGAACTTCTTCAGGTCGCCCTGCAACGAAAACAGAAGATTTTCATACTGAGGAAAATATTCAATCCTGCCAAATTGTTTTGTCTATTTGTGCTAAATAGTCTGAATTCTTTCTAAATATGTTGTATTATGAATGAAATTTTCAAGTCTGCAGTCGGCACGCAGAAATATTTACCTGCGAGACTCTCGCACGAGACACGAGAAGTCTTGCACAAGACTCGAGACGAGACCAATAAAAGTCTTGTCTCCTCTTGTCCGAGTTTCGTCTCAAGTCTTGTCTCGAAAACGAGTAACATGTAACCCAGGGGTTGTAAGTTCGACTCTCACACGGGGCGATGGAGTTTTTCAATTTTCCATTGTCACTTGAAATTAGGGCTTTCCATCTTCATCATTATATGTATCTTTTCGGTTGAATACCCGACAAAAATTATGACTTGACTCCTATTTTCACGTAAGTACCAAACACCTTTGAAAAACCATGAAAAGCTTTCTCAAGTTCTATAGTTATTTTTCTATTTTGCGTCTTTTAATAAACCCATCATGACACCCAAATGCGTATTGGAACAGCTTCTATTAGGACAGGCTGAATTTCTTTTTTCAAAGTTGGTAATGGTAACGTCACACTGTCAGACGCAAAAAATAATCCATGCGGTAGCATGACTACAGAAAATTTGTAGCCGAGAGCTTCGCTCAACAACACGGGGAAAAACTGAAGAGAGACTAACCTCTACAAAGAACGACTGCAGAACGAAGTTTTAATGAAATGTTTAATGACCGAAATAATCTATCAAAATAATGTAATCAATTGTTGTTGCTTCGAATGGTGCAATTGTTAAATACAATGACTATAACATTACATCTTGAGCATTTATTATCAACTTTGCTGGTGAGTTTTGTTGGACTGCTGTTGACACAAAATGGCAACCATTAGTCTGATTATGGCAGGTAAAGGCATCATAATGTGCTACCTACCTCAATTGTTCTCTTTACAGCAGAAAACTACTGAGGATTTTCATCCTATTTGCTGAATGAGAGACACTGAAACGCTGAAAACAATGTCCTATATAGCTGTTTAGGCAAATTCTCTCAGTTCTGGAGGGATGCAACTCAAGTTTGCCTCTTCAGTCTTTCACAAAATAGAAGATTCATATTTTCAATAGACGAACAAATTCAAATTATATAACTGGATTAATGATGTTGACTTGAATAATTTTTCTATCCTCTCTCAAATTTGGAAATAAACATGTTTTATATTGTTACCATCAACTATACTTACATCGTATCTTTCTAATATTTGATGATTTTATTGATGACATTTTTTGAATGAAAGAGAGTACAAATGAATGAATAAAGAGAAATATTACCCTTGATTATAACTAGTGTGAATACTCAATGATATTACACATGTTTTATAAGACATATTGCTCCAAGCGATAAAAAAAAATACTATTATGTTAACAAGTGTATAAGGTGGTACTTTTCTACTAGTAGGAAATGTTGAAAATTCCTATGAGTAAAAAACACTTCAATCACTTGTTACATACAATATTTTTTCTACAAAGGAGGACAACCTCAATCAACTTATGATGTAAATGATTGATGAATGATATTTCACAATTATTATCAAGTAGATATACTAATTTCATGTCACTGTATTGATAACACCTGGTTTCTACGGACGAAATATCCAGAGCCACCGTCGGCTAATTTTGATGCTGATCAAATCATATATGAGATGCGATTATCTAATACGGGAGGTTATCGCTCAAAGTCATCTCCACTACTTTAAAAAGTAGTGGAGATGACTTTGAGCTTTCCTTCTTTCTTTTGACAGTTTTTTAGACTCGTGAGTTTTCCATGAAACTTCATTGGTCTATAATTTTCAAAGTTCCTTACCCAGTCTGTGTGTTCCAGAATCATATAATGTGGTTCAATTTCCCGACATAGCCCGAACAACTTTATGACATTGTCATGGGACAACTTGCTGAACATGTCGATTTCCCTCTTGAATTCCGCCAGGCAGTTTTCTTCTTTGGTTTGGCTTAAAGCTTTAACTAGTACCGTTATATCTTTATCATCAGCTGATTCTGACGATGCAGCAATCTGAGAGTTCCTAGAACTCCTCTTGTCGCTATTAAGTGCCACGCTCTTTGGCAGCTTGGCTACCATAACGTCGCCAAATTCTCCCCTTCCTAAAAATAATAATATACATGTACATGAATAAATACATTCAGTATACTTATCGACCAGTTGATAGAAATCTCACCTATTAATGTGGATTCTTTGAGATAACTTCTCGGAAAGGCCAACTTATCGTAGTTACTCGATTTGGATTTCTTCGAGTGGCCTGAAGACTGTGAATTGGTTGTTTCAGCTCCGTCACTCTTTTGACCTTCCTTGTGGCTTTCAACTCCGTTAATTTTCGGTTTGGAAGCTGATCCGTTCGAGCTCACGGCTTCCTTCAACTCTGTGTGCTCAACATCACCATTCTCAGTTTTGGCAGCTATAATATGAGATAGTAGTTGCAAATCTATCTAAAGAACAATGCTTACACAGTACTATTAGTCGCGTCGACGTTCACAAATGATGATACACAAGTTCAGAAACTCAATTTATGCGAAGACAAGCATTTCATAAAATGAGTGTATATGACTGTAATGCAATCGATAAATAATCACTCAACTGATAAAAAGAATATAGGAGATTCGTCGAACAGAATAATAATGTATTGATAAGTTTGGATAGTTCCCTTAGCTATAGGTGACCGAATTTGAGATCGAAGTGGTTGGTTGTGGAACTATATGAAAGTACATTGTATTGAAATGGATAAATTGCTTGTGTTTATTATTTGGTTTCTTTGGTAGGTATTCGAAATGTACTCGTATCTGTCTATTGTAGTCGATTCATCTACAAGTTTAGTAAAGAGAAAAAGTCCTCTAAGCTGGATGTATGTGTGAATAACTCAGTTGATCTACCCAGGAAAAATCAAACTTATGTGCTTTGCTCCGAGTGAGCAATGCATATTTCCAAATCATTTTGTAACTTTCTAGTTCTGGGAAGAATGCAACTGAATTCAATCTTGAAGTTGAGAGAAAATCCTTCAATCACACTGATTGAAATTATCATTTTCTGTGAAAAGCAGTGAGGAAACTTTCCTGAGTAACATGAGAATCCGAGCAATATTGATTCAAGGTACTCTACTGAAGAATTTTAACTCGAAAAATATCCCAATGACCACTAAACTTTTGATGAAATAACATGGTAACCTTGATGTAAACAAACATTCTATGTAGCTGTATATTAGTTACTCGAATATTCGCTAGAGCGTGCGTCGCTTATTTTGAATCGCCTATCAAGTATTTAATATTTCATTTAAATACCTATGAGAGCAGCCTCACCATCTCCTAATGGTAGTTTTCTAGACCGTCTTCTATATCGGCACCATACCATCAGACCGATCACCAAAATGATGTAGGCACCAGCTACAGACATTGTTATCAAAACGGCTTTGGTGACAGTGGAATCCTCGTCATCTTCTGGTACCAAACCATTTGGTGCTAAAAATCATACATGGTCCAGAAAATTGTGATCGATGAGAGGATATAATGTTATTTTTGATGAAGCAGATCATAATGACTTGGAATTCAAGAATATTAGCGTATTCTCTTGATCCTCTGTTTTTTTTGTTTAATTTTTCGAATGTATAACTTACTATGTACAATTAACTGGACTTCTTTTCTGTTGAGACCAGCACTGCTACCGGCCGTACAGCCATATTTATTTTCGTCGTCTCTGTGTACTTCTCTGATGTATAAAGTACCATTTTCAAGTACAGTGAATCTAGATTGGTCGAAATCGTTCATCTTCAGATTCTTGTCCCACTGGATGGTAGGTTTCGGATCACCTTCCACCACGCAATCTATGCTAACAGAGTGTCCTTCAATGGCTTCCATTGGGGTTTTTGGGAGAATACTGAATTTTGGGGCCACTGGGAAAACAAACAGTAAATTAGTCTCAGTTTATTAGAACGATCTCATTAGACACTGATGTTTACAGTTATATCAATTTGTGAAATGAAAATTAAAAATTCGAAAAGCATTTTAGATATACTTTTGTATGTAACACGAATTCGATAATGAAAAACTTGTGAATATAAATTCATAGAGATATTCTTCAGTGAATTTATAAAGTTTTTTGGAAGAGACACTAAGCTGAATCAGTGCGGCGATTGTGAATAGCGGATTATTTTCCTTAATGAAAATTCATCACTACTTGGTCTGATATTACGACGACCACAACTTACCAACTACTTCGATATTGATGGTCGCATTGATAGCTCCTTGGCTGTTACTAGCAAAACAGTTATATCGCCCTTTGTCTTCTGCGAGGACTCCGTTGAAGTGTAGCGTACCATTCATGTCTGTGATGTGACTGGGTAAATTTTCAACAGTCACTCCTTCTTTTTCCCAGTGGATGATCGGTGGTGGGGTACCTTGTGCCTTGCAGTGGATTCTGGCAATACTGCCGAGTTCCATTTTCTTGTTGACGGGTGATGGCACGAATCTGAGTAGTTCTGAATTAAGTCAATTAGTCATCCAACTAATACTTCGATGTATTTCTTACAAAATCAATACAAAGAACAATGCCATCAAATTTCTTAAATAAAGAAAATTTCGTGTGACATCTTATCATTTCTACGTTAATTAAAAAATAATTGTGTAGGAACTTGGAAAAATCATTTTCAAAATCTATTCGATTACCGTCTTTATTCAGGAATGCAGAAGTATACAAAATATCACCAAAAATGGATACCATTTACATTTGGAATACTGTATCAAGATAATATTCCACCCACCCTGGTTAAAACTATGCCCACAACTTCTGATAGCAGCTGAATATATCATAAATTCATCAGAGAGATGCTGTTCAGGAATCGAAAATAAAAATCTTGTCGTTTGTAATATTCTTGAAACTTTATTGAAAAATTGAATGTGTGTGAGATCACTGTCATTCAACTGAGAAAAATGTGGACCATTCGATCTGCAACCTTTATTTCGAAATTTTATCCAATTAAGGTTCCTTGTTTTTCACAATCTGGATGGATATGACTGTCATTTGAACATCAAAGCATTGAAAAAGTGATGATATGAGTTGAGGTGATTTTTCAAATCGAAGAATATTTTATATCATAATTATTATGATGTTGATAATTGTGTTTATTAATACAAATAAATAATTTTACTGAGATCCATGAATTTCAACTAATAACACTGGCATTGTCAGTTCTCTGATTTCCTACACTTGTGGGTGATACTAACCTATCACTGAAATGGTTGCCGGCTTTGAGAAAACCGGTTTCTGGCCTGTTGTGAGGACTTCACAAACATACTCCCCTCTGTCGCTAGCCTGGGTATTGAAGATGACCAACGTGCCATTCTGTTTGAAAACTTTCGCCCTCTGATGGGACGACTGCATATCGTCGAAGTCGTGTTTCAGAGTCTTTCCGTCCTTTCTCCATTTGATCACGGTGTGGTCACGTGATTCCGATTCAAATTCGCAGTGGAGCAAGGATTTCTGGTTCTCCTCCACTGTTACACTAGATGGGTGTTTCGTTATCTTGGGCTTCACTAGAAAAAATGCTGCGTATTGAACATTTCCAACTCTGAGACCAATTTGCATCTTCAAGAATAATAATGAAACTATCCGAAAATGCAGTGAAACTTACTTGTAACTATCAATTCCACAGTGCTCTCAGTTTTTCCTGCGATATTCTCTGCTACACATTTATAAATTCCTGCATTTTCAGCTCTCACACTGTCTATAATCAATCTTCCATCATCAACTCTTATATCTCCTGAATCAGATATCTGCAAATGTGAAATAAGTTGAGAATTATTTCCGTATTGGAAAAGAATCTATATAATCAGTATATTTATCCGATCATCACTCAACAATCAGGAATTCGCGACTCGAGATGACACTCTGTAGAGCATATGTCATTAATTTCGAAATAGAATATGATGGAACATGACTGAAAATCTTGATGTATGTTATTATTATTCCGATATAATATCATTGCTCACGGCATATACTCCAAGAGAAGGATCATATAGGAATAATATATCTTTGTGAATAGTAAATATCGACATACTGTATGGCCATGTGAATTTTCCCACCATTTTTTGGCAAGTGGAAAACTATCTGGCTCCAGACAAGTCAACTGGAACATTGATCCTTCCCCAGCAATTTTTTCACCATGTTCGGGCAGTGTTGGTTCGAAAGAGGTAGCTTTGAAAGGTTGAATATCTGAAACGGAATACAATCAGAGTTGTTGCTAAGTAATTGCTATTACAAATATTACAAGCTAATTTTAGTTCGGCAGTGTAGATTTGGGGTACTTCTGCAGCTTCACTCCTTATTCCAGAACAGCTGTACATTCCTCCGTCATCTTCTGTAACATTGTCGATTTGGAGAGAACCATTCGAATGGACTGTGATCCTGAAAAAAATAATATACTTATAGGGTCTGCCTATGAAATGAAATAGAAACATGTTTCAGAGTTACCACGGATATATTTCTCACTACAAAAAAGTAGGTACGATGAAGAATAAGCGATGGCAAATAAAAATATTGACAAAACTAATACGACATAAAGGGCTCTGGAGACTTTTTGTAACAATATTTAAATCTTCTCCAACAAAAAGTTGATCAGTTCTCACCTATTGTTTGTTGTTATACTATTTCCATCTCTGAAGTGCCATTCAATCACATCTGCATGTTGGTAAGAACAGTCGAATATGGCAGTACCACCTTTCTTCACAATAACATCAGAAGGCACAGTTTGGATGAGGGCAGTATTTTCTCCTATAAATAAATACAATCTACTTGTATGACTTCAATGCACTCAACTTCACAGGGTGTTTCATAATATATGCATTGAACTTCAGAATGTGATAGCTCGTCCGAAAATATAAAAAATGTTCCCATTAACTCACCCTTCAAAATGCACCATTTTCGAGATACAGGGTGTTGAAATTCGAGAATAAATCTGTTTATGCTGCTGGAACCTTCTATTGCATGCTGTTTATAACTCTGGAACCTTCTATTGCACAGAGAACAGCTTAACAGCTTTTGTGAGCATTTTCTACTCATAATGAGCTATGTTTTGTGCAGATTTTTTTTTGTCATAATTGGTAGAGATTTTGAAGGAGTGGTTAGTGTTTTTTTTCTCCAACTTCTACGTCACTGGAAAAAGTATAGTTATGAGATGCCCATTCGAACGATCAATGTTTTCTACACATAAAAGATACTACTGGTCCTAAGCTCTGAAGTTCACAGTTTTCGAGAAAAATCAACTTTTATGTTCGAAATCATAGCCAATTTTTTGAAAAATGTTTTTTACCAATAAAAAAAAAATTATTTAAACATCAGAACATGTAACGAAACCAAACGTAACTTCAAATTAAAAATAAACAGAAACAAATCATACTCAGTTAAATTAATAAGTGTGGGAAATTTGGCAATTCTTCAAAACATTGATCATGATTTTCAACATGAAAATTTATTTTAATCGAAAACGGTCAACTTTAGAGCTTATGACCACGTGTATATTTTTTGTGTTGAAAATATTGGCAGTTCAAATGGGAGACTCGAAACTGTACTTTTTCTAGTGGCGTAGAAGTTGTGGAGAAACACACTCACTTCCCCTCCAAAATCTTCACTAATTATGAATTGACAAATATGAATTCTGCACAAAAAATAGTTCACACAAAAAATGTTTTCTGTGCGATAAACGGTTCCAGAGATATTCACAAAACACTTTTTTTTTATTTCAACACCCTGTATCTCGAAAATGGTTAATATACACCTTTTCTCATTTTTTTTAACGAGCTATCACATCCTAAAATCCTGCGCATATATTATGAAACACCCTATATTGGGAAAGGAATTATGTTGCATTCAGAATATTCATCTTTCACTACTTTCAGAGATAATTATTCATTCGCTGTGTTCAATTAAAATAGGTAATAGGTAAACTCAGTTTCGATATTATGACTCCATTTATTAACAGGTATGGCATCAGTTTGGATTTTGTGATCGAGACACTTATAAGTAGAGTTTCTAAATGTCCTTGACACAGCTGTTTTAACGTTTTTTGTATATTATGTAACGATACAATCGTTGTCAAAGAAATAACCCAAGTTGTAATTCGATAACAACAAAAATTTACCAGAAATCTAATATTCTGAATTGTTTTTCATGCTATAAACAACAACTGCGATCCTGAAATATCCACGTTCCTGAGCTGAAGTCTGATTGGTGTATGTCCAGCTGGTTATATGCTATACCTAGGGAGTCCATATAGATCCAGGTTCCTAGTGTTGAGAATAATACTCCAGCAACTAGGGTATTCTCCAAACATAACACCAACAGATTCAGCAACGACTATATGAGTTGTTGCTCATGTAATAGCAGAAAATACATAATTAGAATTTGATTCCAACTTGAATTATCATCTTGGCTCATCACTAATTCTTGACAACACTCATTTATCACAAGTAGTAGCATCTCCATAATCTTGTATATTCAATTTCTTTTGTAAATATATTGCTCAAATAATTCAGTAAATTGAAAATACATTGAAAGGTTGTTTTATTGCTCCATTGTAGGAAGGAAATCTATCTTTTCGTCTCATAGGAACTTTGAATTTTTATCCTATTCAATAAAGAAAAAAATCTGGCGTCCAGTCATCAGTAATTTCAAAACCCCCTTTCTTGACACAATGAGAGAAATCAGAAACTGGCAAAGAACCACACACCCTATTCTGCTGAAATAGCCTGGGTAATCAAAACGACACTAGGTCGTTACAATTATAGTACGGACACTAGACAAGCAGTGACAATCAGACATAACCACAAATAAATTGATCGAAAAAGCGGGAACTGACCTCGGAACTGACAGTACACGAACGTACATGATATAACTTTCGAAGGTTTGACAATTTGAGAGAGTTGGGAGAAAGATGTGCAGTTTCCAACTGTGAGAACACGGGAAATCAATTAACTAAATTTCATAAGTAGAATGCTTCGAACATCTCATCACACGCCCTTTGAAGAATGTGGACATTACCGAATTGTCATCATCCTCAGATTTTTGACGTCAGCTCTAAAAATTTAATAGGCGTCCCCGCGAAAATGTTCTCGAATATGACTTATTGTTCAGTAACAAATTGCAAAAATGCTTGATATAACTACAAAATGAGCTTCATGTGCCTTTGGTCACTATTAGGGTTTCAAATAAAAATATGTCTGCACTGGTTATGTACAGAAAAATGGCATTCCTTCAGCTGTTTAACAACATGACAAGTGTGTCCACACTCCTTGAAGGGCGTAAAATGAGATGTTCGAGGCACTCTACTACCGCTTTTAAAATGGTTTCAGTGGAACTTTTCTATGAAGAATCATCGTTCGTTACTATTATAGAACTTACCAGCTACTGCCAAGGCAAAATTTTTTGAGCTGCGCCTCTCCCCAGCTTCATTTTTAGCCACGCATCTGTAAACCCCATTATCAGAGGGCTCTACCGCCTTTATGTGCAACCTTTTCTTCTTAATTTCAAGCCTGGCTGATCTCGCTAAACGGTCCGCATTCCTGTAATCACAAACACTCAATGTTACGGGAAAGATTTCGAATTTGGTTTCAATTTCGGCATATTTCGGGTTTTACAACATATCTCAGCTAGGAATCAGTTTGGAGGGTTTTCTATTTTGAGATGTTCGAAGTCAATATATTCTAATAAATTGACGAAAAAGATAATATCACCGAACATAAACAGAGACGTTTATGTTCGGTGATAATATCGAGAAGTTTGTTCTCGAATCCCTGCGTCTCCAGATAAGATGTCGAAAATACATTGATGATTTTTTTTTCCTACGGCCTCGATGAAATGAGTTCATAGGATCAATGATCACAACAACTTTCTTCATCGATATACTAGAAATCTACCGAAAACTCAAAAAAAAACAACCAAACAAAAACTAATTTCATTTCGCGATATGGTGTTATTCAGTTCAATATTTGCTCATCAATCATTCAGCATTTCATCACCACATTGTGTCAAGATCATTCTGAATATCCCAGTATATGTGAATGATATGTTTTCTAAGATTTCAAGTGGTGACGTGGTTTTACGAAACATGAGCGATTACGTCGGTCTGAGAGACATTCAATATTTTTGTGATATATATACAATCAAAATAGTGTCAGTTGATATGATTCTGCTAAAAGGAAACATCATTGAGAATCACATCATATTATTAAAAAAATGCAATTCAATTCAAGATCCTCTCCATCGGTCATACATGTTTTTATGGGATGTAGAATTCTTGGTTGTTCTGCTCCTAATATGGATGATTTCTAAATCTACTGTAGAAGTCCATGTCATCTCAAAGTGGAATGAAGTAGTTGAAATATAATAAAAACTCTCCAAGTCGTATCCACAACGTTTAATTTCAAATTCAAGAAGGGGGGGGGGAGCATGTTTCGGACCCAAAACGTATCCATCATCAGCCAGAAAGACATTATTCTACAAAGAACAACGAGAGAGTAAGTAGGTATATCAAGTAAAACACATTGGTACTCACGTGGAGAAGAAAAATGCAGAAACATGGTTATAATTAGCATGGTAAAACAGTTATTATACTATAGACATGTCTATAGTTTTTATGAAATTCAGAATGAAGTAAACAGGTAGCATTATCAGTAAATATACCTGTTGATTATAACCATGTTTTGGCCTTTTACTTCTCCACGTGAGTACCAAAGTGTTTTACTTGATATACCTACTTACTGTTTCGTTGTTCTTTGTAGAATAATTTCTTTCTGGCTGATGTTGGATACCTTTCGGGTCCGAAACATGTCCCCCCCTCCTTGAATTGGAATTAAATGTTGTGGAGACGACTTCGAGAGTTTTTATTATATTTTTTGGACGATTTCTGTTAGGAATAATATTTTATTTGTATAAGAATATAAACATTTGATTGAATACGCTCAATTTCACATTAAATGAATTGAAAGACGAAATATTAATATAGCAGATTTTTTACTTCACTGGTGACGTCGGTCTGACAGGCCGAAAAAATACCTACTGGCATGTTGCTAACGCTAGCGCTATCTGGTTTACAGTGCGAAGAGATCCAAAAAAGGTTAAGCTAGAGAAATTCAGGAAAGGGGGGATCGCGCGACAGCGCCAAAATTCATAAAATGGATTCTGGTCGGTCTGAGAGACCGCAGGTCACCACTCCAGGTTCAATGATATTTGTCGGAGGTACACACCAAGTGATCAATGTTTATAATTTTTGCATATATGCAAAACCCCCAGTTAACATTCTGATTGCAGATGGACAGAATATCCCGATAACCAGAAAAAAGACCACCCATAGAGGCTATCCCGCTTTGTAAATGATACCACTACGAGTAACCAAAACAAGGGGACTACTTGTCACGTCATACCAAGGGACATTCTTCGCATCCTATATCATAAATGAATAAACGAAATCAGGAGATCACTATGGCAAAATATCAGTTAGTGGGTTTTATAATCTCTCTAGAAGAACATCAGATCCATGTTTTATTGGTGTCTTCGACCTTCTAGATGCTTATAGATTGTTTGATGATGAGGAATTATTCGATTCTTCTCCTTCTTAATTTATTTTAAAGAGTAGTTTGATCCGTTCGAATGATTTTTTTTCGTTCCACGGTCATTGTATGTATGATTTCGCTCAATTCTCAACATGTATCAGGTATCGATATCTGATTGAAGGATGTCATCTCTCTTTTGCCTGACCAAGACGAATATAGAAAAATTTCAAAGTTGGATGACGGACATCAGGGATGAAGGCGAATTTGCAGATCATTGTTAAGAAAAAAACTGAGTGGAAATGGAAAGCTATCATGGACCCGATAATTGGTATATAACTCCACTTGTTTCTGTACATTGAACCTCATTCATTGGCCATCAAGATACATATATTCAAGATGGCTAATTGTTCTTCCTCCGCACTTTTTACTTTTCATTCTTTGAATGGAATACATCACTGTCACTCTTTTGAAACTTGTTTATTTTCCTTTTTTCATTTATTTCATGTCCTGTTAATCAATCTTATTATTAATTTCCATATAACGGCTTTAAATCATCTTCATCTTTTTGAATAGAGATATCGATGAATTAATTTTACGAATCAACAAATATTTTTATTTATTTCTAAAACAAAACATGGTTCTGTTATTGATGCTCCTCTTACCTGAACCATTCAAAATGGACTTCCCCAGAAGCGTCCATATGACACCTCAGGATGACGTCACCACCCGCCTGGACTAAGGATGCTGATTCCGGGTCCTGCAACTGGACAGATGGCTCTTCTATCCCTGGAACAATTGAAACAAATATTCGTAAGGTGATTCATCTGACGTCAGTTGAAAATTACAAGAAACCACCATTTTTCAATAATATTCATTAATGAACAGGTTTTCACATTGATTGTTCACATTTTCTAAGATACTCAAAAGGGAAATGTGAACTTGTGAAAGTGAAAGTTAATCAAAGAAAAATTTAAATTTGTGCTGGTTTCTGTTCCATACATGATCCTTATTTTCAACAAAAAACAAACTGTCCTGATGCTCCTTTTTTTATTTTCGGAATTGAAGAAACTAACTCGAAGAATATTTGGAGAAGTCATATCAGTAATTATTATATATATTCCACCGGATATTACTGCTGTGAAGAACTTGGAGACAGGCAAAGTATATGTACGTCATAAATATACAGAATATATAAAAAAATATATTCCAACCAAGAGAAATAAATGTCATAGCATGTGGCTGGATGGAACGGCCTTTGATTGAATGATCCTTTCAGCTCTCTATATTCCCTCTTCTTCCTTCTCCTCCTTCCTTTGGATCACAGAAACCCTCTTACATTCTTGATATAAGATTTCAGTATACGTGCTTCTGGATGAAAATATCAAAGTCATACTCACTTTACTCACTTGATGGATGCTCGCTTCCCGTACTGAGAGATGCTAGATATATAGAAACTTATTTCATTTCGTTCAAGTCGAAGTTTCATTCATTGACAAGTTATTGGCGTTAGGAAATAAGGGAGATTCCCAGAAAATTTACATTCGCGTTCATTTAGAATGTAGGTGTGTATGCGAGTTCAGAAGAAAAGCTTTGGGTCTGGGAGATACAAATGAAAAATATCAAAAGATGCAATTTCTCATTCACAACAATGAAATAGAAATCTGGAATGAAATTTCTATTGAAATGAATATTATCCTTCCTCGTATAGACAGAGCTCTAGCGACAATATTTCAAGTTTCAAGTCATTTTTTACTTTCCAAAGTTTTCCCTACTCTCGTTAGCAATTCACAGAGCGTCGTTACGATGTGGAGTGGCTTTTCCCTCTTCTCTGAGAGTGAAGTCTGTATCTGGGAATATTATTAGTTAGAGGATGGCTTTTATCATGGATAATCGTGACCTTATTCCTAGCCAGGAGATGAATGCAGAAGAGTGACGAAGGGGTGTTTGAGTTGGAGTTTCTGCAGATGAAAATTTGTTAAATTTGAGGGAAAATCGGAAAATTTCATTACATCACCCAATCATCATCCATGCAATATCCAAATCTCGAGAAAATTTATTGTTGTTGTTGTTGTTCTTGCTCCTCCAACTTACTTAAAAGCATTCATACCGTTTCGATTTTATACCATTTATTGCATTGATACCGTTTGATGGATGTCAGACGTATGGAGTTGCATATTTCTTTTTATTTATTTCAATCTTGTGTCAGTTTCCTAAATTCATCCTGGTTCATATATGCTTTCAACTTGGTCTTCTTCAAAGTCATGCGGCACACAGAAATGACCAAAAACGTTTCTGCTCAATGTGTACCGAGATGTGTACATGTACAATACACGAACTTTTATCGACATCGAATCATGTCTGTTATTGTGTTCGGAAAAATAAGAAAGATCTATGGTAAGAGTAAGATATGACAGGTTATGAAGGCGTACGCTTCATTGATATAGTTTTGATCTCATGACATTAGCGTTCTAGTTAGTAAGTGTAGTAGTAGACCTGTAGACCAAATATTTTGTGGATTCAATCTGTAAGTTTTATCTGAATGTTTGCTTCCCGATTATTTATTCTTTATTTGCCGATATAACATGTCTTGTACCACGATTCTCACCACGACAGATGCTCGGTATTTCTTTCATGGGTAAATCATCTACGATCCATCGCGAAAGCTGTTTCACAGAAACTCAGATTGCTCTTAGATTCCATCCAGAGGAAAGCCATCCACCTGATGAATAATGCGACACTCACTGATATTTTGACTTCGTTAGAACACCGTAAGAAAGTCGGCGACCTTTCACGTTTCTACAGATACTTACTGTTCCTCAAGAATATCTGCTATCATCCCTATCACTAGTATTACCACTCAGAAAAACTCGACAGGCCCAGTCAGCACATCCTTCCTTTTCTTGTCAACATTGAAATATGTCGAACAACACTTTACCAAAACTCGTTCATCTTCTATAGAACGGCAAAGCTGTGGAATTCTTTGCCAATAGAAGTATTTCCAAGAACTCATAACCTTATCATATCATATCAATAAAGATCACTTGAATTTGGGGTGTTGGGAAACTGAATTTCCATAGTTTAAAGTTGCAGGGTTAATCATCAAATACAAATTCTGTTATCACTTCCAGACAACATCAGACGAATGCATTCATAAATAGAAACTGGATATGCAACATGCCATCACTTTTTTCATGCGATATCAATGGCAAACATTGATGGATTGTTTGTCATGATACACATGTTTGTAAAATTCCGGCTTGATCGGTTACACATCAGTGATATGGTGTTTATTTGTTCTTCTTTTGTTCGATTCCGATTCATGTTGGTATTAATATAAATTTAGAGCGAAACTGATAATTTATTTTCATTCAGATGTACAAGTGGAAAAACAAACACTATACTCTGTAATGGCTAGGCTAGAGTGGTAATTTTCGTAGCAATGGCCGATAAAATTCACACAATAGTGAACGGAGAAACTCAGAGTTGAGATCCTCAATGTATCCATGAAAGATCACTTTCTTCCTGTTCATAGAACCACAGTTTAGAGAATATTAGATATATATTCTCTAAACTGTGATAGAACCTTCCACTTCCATGTTGGTTGCCGGATATCTGATCGAAATCATTAGATCGAAGTTACATTTATCGAACATCATTTGATAGAAAATCAATTGATCGAAAAATCAAATGATCGATGATCAATTGATCAAGATATCAACTGATCGAACTACATTTGGATCGAATATAATCATTTGCATATAATATTCACTTACTGATTCGTCTCAAACCCTTTGTATAGATTTTAAGAATTCATCGATATGAGGGATTTCATCGCGAGAAGCATTAAGGAGTATAACATCAAATTTAGGCCGAGTCAGGTTAGCTTGTTTAGTTTTGTTCTCCCAGGTGATTTTTCTAAAAATATACTTACTAGGAACATAGATCTAGGAAGAAGGTTCATTCAGGCCGAGTTATGTTAGATTGTTTGGGAAAAGTAGTCTCCTTTTTTATGCTAATGCTTATGCTTATTTTCTTTCCTCAACATTCCGACATACATTGTAACGGCTATAAACGGACTTACTTACGCTGTTGGCTCGCAATACGTGAAATGACTAGGCATTTCAGGTAATGCTAGATTTGATCAAATTCATTCCTTTTTTATTCCAAGTTCGATCAAAACATAATTCGATCAATTGATATTTCGATCAATTGATTTCCGATCATTTGATTTTCCATACAATTGATTCCCGATCAAATGATGTTCGATCAAATAGTTTCCGATCATATTTCCGACAACCTTCCACTCTCTCGAATTGTTCAATAAAATGAGAACGGACTCAAAAATATTCTTATTAAATTGAAGTTTATTTAAGGGCAATGCACCGTAATCTCCTAAATCATAATGATATACTTTATCAATTTTGTATCCATTAGTGCACCACGTGATATGCACTTTGCGGTATTGCGGTGTTCACGGCGATTCCATCGAAAAAAAAAACAAGCAGATTTATTGGAGAAACATTCAGAACAGGTTTTCACATCATCATTACACGAACCCCTTGAATATTATTGCAGATTCCTTGTGAGAGAGCTACAGAATACCGAAGAAAGGTGAATAAAGTACTGGTTATTGCGGTGTCTTGTAAGGTAAGATTCCTTATCTTATGAATGCTTCAGCTTACCAAAGATCAATTTGCATGGCCGAGTCCCAATGCGATTAGATTATCTCTGTTTCTTTGAAGAGTTCGAAGACATCTTTTGGTATTGTGAACCAGTTGGAAGATGTTAAAAACGCGGAGTTTCTTCGTATAGCATCATATCATCATACGATATTTTGGAGGGTCAGTCCATCCATGTCACAATAAAAGAGTAGGTTCCACCATGTAATGAAATAGGGGTAGGACTTTCACTATGTCACAACATGGGGTTGGTATTTCACCCATTTCGATTTATAAGGGGTAATGCTTGGCTTAATAGTTTGCGATAGGTAATATTCGAATAGGCACTATAATGGTTTAGGGGTAACTGAAACTTCAAATCAACTTTATTACTAGATTAAAGTGTAAATGGTGTACAACAAAGACATATTCACATTTTGTCCAGCTTCGAGACTATATTCAAAGATAACGATGGATATCTAAGGCCTAATAACAACTTACATTATAATGACCATATTGACGAGTTCTTGTCAAGTCAAGAGTAGCCCCAGACCAGACTAACTTCGGAACCCTCCCAACCAATATTGATATACCGACATCATTTTATTAGACTTGCACGTTGTTCATGAGAATTGCTTGGTCAGTTTTCATAGCTCAATGTCAACGGATGATTTGATTAACTTTATGTTTATAAAACCTATGTTCTACTCGTGACAAAATGTTCAGGAGTTCCTACTTTTGCAAAACGAGTGATGACAAAGTGTCTCTAGACTCTCTAGTTCGCAATTTTGAAGGTTAGTATGGTTAGGTTACGTAAAACGGGGCTACTTGAACATGCAGTGAACTTCATTTTTTTTCATGTGTCGCTTGTTATTTTCGCGGATTTTTTTCGCTTGTGACGGGTGCTGAATTGATGTGGAAAACGGTAAGGAAATATCAGACCACAGGGGGCTCAAAACTAGGTCCAATTAAATGTTTCAAATAAGAAAACCTTCATTTTTGTGAAATGGTATAATATTAATAAAAAAAATCGAAAAAATGTGTTTCGATGAACATATTATGCTCTATACAGGGTATGTCACAACGAGCTTACAGTATCTCTACATCGAGAATCAGTCGGGAGAAATACATGGAAATATGCATGCTTATATTTTAGAATACGCTCTCTCCATTTAAAAAAATTTCAGCAATGCAGTGTCGCCGCTTCTAAAGTAGTAACAACTTTGTTATTTCAAATAGAATACCCTGTATTTCATTGCATTTTTAGATTCTCCCTGAAGAGCTGATTTCATCGATACATTATACTTGGGGTCTATCGGAAATGATTACAGAAAACTAGGGTATTCAAAATCGAGATTTTTCAACTTTAGGATTTGTTTGTGTCGAAACTATTTTATTATCGGTCAAAACGGCTCACATGTTCCTATCTCAACGTATCTCAACTTTTGATTTACTATTTACTGATGTTTATTCGGAACAGATTCAGGATGATCAGAATTCTGAATCTTAAACCACCTTCAGAATACTAATAAATATGTAATTGTGTATTTGAGAAGCTTTCAATTAGTGCACTAATTATTGTCAAGTATATTAATTTTGTTCAATAACTGTCAAATCCATATGTCGAATCTCAACAGATGCCCAAAAACTATGCACCAAATAATTCGCAATTGAAATGATGTGTTCAAAGTAGGGTAGTTCGATTTGAAATTTTAAAGTTTTGGAATTGCTGGGGGTTAGGGGGGTGATCACAGTTCACAAGTTCGTTCAGCTGTCAAGAATGCGCCCCCCAAGTATAAAAATCGAGAGATCCCGGCGATTTCTGGTAGATTCGGTTATCTAGTTAAAAAGGGAGTTCCAGTTTTCGCTGGGAGGCCCTGTATATGTTCACGATACCCTATGGTTCCATGGTTCCATCCCTGTGGTAACATCTGTTTCACTTCGGCTCGATTTAATATTTTTTCGCTGTTTGATTCACAGATGTTCCGGCCATGTAAGACTTCAAAAACCGGTGCCGCAAGCAATCTGTTCGGTCTGAAAGGGATGTAAATCGGCCATGCCATGTACCCGGGACTTATTTGTGTTTGTTCGTGGAACATTCGAAGAGATGAAACGGTTCACGTTACCATGCATGCTTGACGACAGATGGATTGGTGAAATCCATTTAGACAGAAGATGAAAACGTCTTTGTATATATTTCGGTAATTTTAGAATGGATACTTTTTATGCAGTCAGTTCCATTTCAGTAATTGAAATCAAAGCTTGAACCTATACCAATTTCATTAGTAAATGTTCCCGTGTATGAAATTATGCGTAGTATCTTTTGTTTGTTTGTAATTTCCTTTGTTGTTTATCCTGGTTGTTTTTCTTTTCATTCTCGTCGACTTAAAATTTCCATATTGGTTTTTACTCGACAGGTACTAATTACTTTCTATGCTCCCTA